AAATCTCTAAACTTATCAGTGTGTAATTGTATTACCTACTAAAAAAAAAAAAACTTACCAATAAAGAGTTTAGAGTCCTTAGACGAAAAAAGATGGCTTTGGAACCGAGAGTAATACAGCAATTTTGGCAAGAATTTCAACCTCACTATATATGGTGAGTTTATTTAGCTGAAAATATCATTTAGTCTAGCAAGATTTAAGATAAACTTAAAAACAACACTTGAGTTAACAAGATATAAGGTACAAAAATAATTGAGAGAATTTACTCTCCAACACATTCGGTGTAAAGGTCAAACATTGATTTAAATTACATGAATCACGAACTATCTAAAGCTTACAAAATTCATTTGGTTAAGTACATAACATTTCAATTAATTCAAATAATCTTCCAGTGCAGTTCTAAAAAAATAGATTCAAACATAATCAAATTATATACTATAAGAAAGGATGTCTTTGAGTGTTGAGAGACGTACGTTATGGCTCACTTCATACCTGCTATGATCAAGCAGGGGAACTGGCAAATTTACTAAGCATGTATGTCGCACTTGCCGCTTTAGAGAGGTTGGTTAGGTGCACACGGTTTTCCCGATCTCCTGGCCCTCTGTTATGTTTCCAACCGCAGCAATGCTGTGGTATTCGCCATCCCCTAATTTCACCTATTAGAGGTTGATCGAGTTAGCATTCATCAATCTAAAAGTTTTGATTTATAGTTGAATTTAAAGGTTCAAACATCTACAAAGTCAAAAAATTAATTTCTAATGTACTAAATATGAAAAAATAAATAAACATATATGTCACGTCTTTTTAGAACAGGGCAAGTAGTGCTGGAAGTATTTTGTTTTAAAATTAAAAACACCAAATAGTCAAATTGAATCAAATCTTTTTACCTGGTTAAACAATTAAATAATTATTTCAATTTTAAACCAAACCAAAATTTTAGTTTAGTTATGGTTATAATACTAAAATCGTAAAAACTAAAAGGAGTTTCCAACTTAACTAGATTAGTAAAAATTTTAGTTTAACCAAAAAACCTAAATTGAACTGAATTTTTTTAGTACAAAAGTCAAGATTTAATTTGAAATTTAATAAAATTCAAAATTTTGGTTAAAACCTAAATAAACAAAAAATTTTAGTTGACTTAACTAAATTTCTATACTATAACTTAGTTCAGATTCCGTTGGTTTTTTTTTTTTTTTTTCCTTTTGAAAAGTTCAAATTTCGTTTTGAAGACGTTAATTGATCAATTAGATTGAGTCAAATTTTTCTTTTTGATTTAGTGACAAAACCAAATTTATGCCAGCAGTAAGGCCAGGCCAAGTACATGCCCCCTAAGACATACTTTAGGTAGAAATTGCTAATTATCTCCTCACCTTGATATATAAACCCTTTACTAAATTTCATGGCAAGTCAACTTTGAACTTACATTATCATGACAATTGCTCAATATTTAAAGGTTGACATCATATAACAACATCTTTCTGTTTAGATTTAACTATACCTGTGTGAGTGGATCCCATTTACTAATGTGTGAGTATTTAACAATTAACAAATTAATATTTGATTAGACTCAATTGAAATCCTTAAACCCTAAAATTTTGGATTGTGGGACATAATCAAAGAAATTAGAATTTAAAGGGCTAAAGTGCTGATCGATGGAAAAGAGCGGACAATGGAACAAAATTAAGAAGATTAAAAAAAAAAAAAGTGTAAAGAAAGTTTCAGTGAACGGTGTCGTATTTGGTAAGGCGTTTAAATCAACAAAGTTGTCTTCCTCCTCCTGACTCTGCAAAAATCCCTAACGTTTCTTCCTAAATCCACCCAAGATTGTTCGCAATTATGGAGAAGGATCCCAAGATCTCCTTTAGCTGTGCTTACATGAGAAGATTGGAGGGGACTCCTTCTCCTTCCAAAATCAAGTTGCTTGGGGAAGAGGTAAAATCTCCAAATTTCAATTTTTACTCTTTCCTTTTAGGCAAATTAGTCTATGTTGTTCGTTGAATTCAATTCGGTTAGATTTGAAGAGAAATAGTTATATTAGTATATGAGATAGCAGAAAATCAGGAAGTTTCGGTAATTAGAAAGACTTAAATATCATAAATGAACCATGACATTTTTAATGTTAGGATCAGGATGTCTTGAAAAACAGGCTACAGTTCTAACATTTGCTACTTATACAAAGAGAAGAGAAAAAAAAAAAAAAAAACTCTCCTCACAACTTGAGACTAGTAGTATTGCTATATCTATAATGGTATGATAAATGCACTTTGTCTTTAAACCTCTACGATTTCATCTTCATTGCATTCATCTCTTTTGAGTGTTGAGGTTTCTCCAGGGTGTGTCAATACCTCAGAGTCAGTTGAGAGGCCGTGTCTCTTACCAATAGCAGCTAGTTTTTTGTACAATTGAAGCATTGTTGGCCTTTGATCTGGATATGGTTGAACACAATCCAATGCAACCTTCAGAAACTGAAAGATTTCCTGGTCAAATCCTTGCCCCATCAGTGATTTATCAACAATGCTATAGAAATTAGAGCTTGCAGAGAGAAGTGTAACCCAATTGTTGAGTGTCTCATTGCTAGTGTTTGAGTTTGTTGTCATGCCTCTAGGATCCTCTCTAGTGATCAGCTCAAGAAGCAAAATTCCAAAGCAATAGACATCCTCTTTAGCAAAGCTTGATTCCCAAAACTCAGTATTAAGTGAGAAGCTTTCGGTTGAATCAGTGCCATATGATTTCACGAGCATTGCCTCTCCGAAGTTTGATAAC